AGGACTTACGCTCCTCGCTGGCCACTAACAGTACAGAAAATAACACCCTTCTAAGTCCACGGGATTCTCTTCTATATAGAAGCTTTTAGTGTCTATACTCTATGTGAAACTAGCAAACAAGCAATGCTTGTTGGGACCTTATACTCCCTTAAAATTGATGTATGCATCATCATCATCGACAGCATGACATCAGTGTTCAACACCAATGCTTCACTGCCGTACAACCATTACTTATTTGAAAGCCTTATTGTAAAGAAAGGAATAAAGGTGGACGGGGAACGGACTTAGTGCTAGCTTAACACAATCATTCCGAGGGGCCTACACCTCCAGACATTCACTCAGGCAATCTGGACAGAAACTGACAACAGGAACGCCACTGACATCGGTTGGCAGCCATATCTTGTAGTGTCTCCAACCAGGTACAGCGAGGGTCACGCGGTCCCCATCCTGGAAGGCGAGTAGCACCGACAGCACCCAAGCGTTTCGTGATCTCCTTCATACTCCTCTGCCAAGTCAAGGGTTGGCCACCTCCCTGTTTACGCCACTCCGAATTGCGCATGGAAGACAGTACTCTCTTCGGCAAACAATGGTTCGGCATACGTAACGCATGTCCCAACCAACGCACCTTCTGGTGCTGGACACATTCTTCAATGGAAGTACCTGCTACACAACCGAAAACACGCTTCCTAACTGCCTCGTTACGGATTCGCCGACACCAACCCACACGAGCTATGGTTCTGAGACAACGACTGTCGAACACCTGAAGACGTCTCAGTTCCACTGCTCGAATAGGCTAAGTCTCACAGCCATACAATAAGACAGCCCGTACTGTAGCTTGATACACACGTCCCTTCAGATTCAGGGATAAACCATTCTGACGCCATTGGTGTCTCAAGTTAGCAAACGCAGCCCGAGCCTTGCAGATTCGTGCATTCGTCTCATCTGTCACACTGCAATCAGAACTAATACAACTTCCATGATACGTAAAACGCTCCACAATTTCCAGTACCTCTCCCCGGATTGTAAGGGGCGTGTTCAGTGACTGCACGTCCACAAGCATGACCTTACACTTTGTAGGTGCAAAGTGCATACCAAAGGACGGGATGACTTTGGTCAGTTCATCCAAGAATACTTGCGCCTTTTCCTCCTCTTCGAACATGAGAACGATGTCGTTTGCATATTCCAGATCGACAAGGCTTTCTTCACAGGCTATTTGAACACCAGGGTTTTGGANTTTATGGAAGCAGCGGTGCCGCCTTCCTCCGAAGAGGGACGGGTTAGCAAAGTTCGATCCCAAAAACCGCACACTGATTGCCCAGTGGTTGGATCGCATCGCCGACGCATTATCCGATACGGTCGAAATTCTTTTAAAACCAAAGAGGCCGGTGCTGCTTAAAAGGCACCTACTGTGCCGCGTCCGGTTGCCGCGCAGTTCAGCGTCCACCGATGTCCCCAACCAACCCATTCCCACCACACAAGCAAACATCGCTGGGCCATTTGACTGTCAGTTATCTGACCGAAAGGACTTACGCTCCTTGCCACTAACAGGAAGTATCATTTACCCGCGCAGTTCGGTGTTCACCAATGTCCCTCTCCAACCCATTCCCACCACACAAGCAAACATCGCTGGGCCATTTGACTGTCAGTTATCTGACCGAAAGGACTTACGCTCCTCGCTGGCCACTAACAGTACAGAAAATAACACCCTTCTAAGTCCACGGGATTCTCTTCTATATAGAAGCTTTTAGTGTCTATACTCTATGTGAAACTAGCAAACAAGCAATGCTTGTTGGGACCTTATACTCCCTTAAAATTGATGTATGCATCATCATCATCGACAGCATGACATCAGTGTTCAACACCAATGCTTCACTGCCGTACAACCATTACTTATTTGAAAGCCTTATTGTAAAGAAAGGAATAAAGGTGGACGGGGAACGGACTTAGTGCTAGCTTAACACAATCATTCCGAGGGGCCTACACCTCCAGACATTCACTCAGGCAATCTGGACAGAAACTGACAACAGGAACGCCACTGACATCGGTTGGCAGCCATATCTTGTAGTGTCTCCAACCAAGCACAGTGAGAATCACGCGGTCCCCATCCTGGAAGGCGAGTAGCACC